AAGAAGTTTGTCCACATGGACATGAGTTCAGGGAAAACCACAAACTCACTGGACTGTGAGTGAGCTTGAATAGGCTTTTAGGATCTATGCCTGTGTCCAACCTTGTCATCCTCCTTCTTAGGACAAACCACTTTTAAACAGCACAACACAAACACACACAAAAGACAACAAAAAGGGGTGAAAGGGAATGGCCTGATTCCACCTAGGGTGCCAAATATATGGGAACCAATAACAAAACCCAGGTTTCAAATGAGAATAAATAGCTGAGGAACTCAACACAAAGAGACATTCAGAGCCAGTGCTGACTTATCACATCAGTGCAAACTCAACAAGCCACGCACTGCAAGGTGTAAGGTGCCTCTGTAGCAGCCATGCCTGTTTGAAAATGGGAGTCCACACAATGGGAAGTGCAGGTGGTATCTCAGTGAAACATTCAAGGAAATTTGCGCCTGGCCTAGATGCACAATAAATTTTTTAAAAATGATATATTGGAGCCGAGCACAGTGGCTCACGCCTGTAATCCCAGCACTTTGGAAGACCGAGGCGGGTGGATCACGAGGTCAGGAGTTCAAGACTAGCCTGGCCAAGATGGTGAAACCCCATCTCTACTAAAAATACAAAACTTAGCTGGGCGTGGTGGCAGACGCCTGTAATCCCAGCTACTCAGGAGGCTGAGGCAGAGAATTGCTTGAACCTGGGAGGCGGAGGTTGCAGTGAGCCGAGATCACATCACTGCACTCCAGCCTGAGTGACAGAGCAAGATTCCATCTCAAAAAAATAATAATAAATAAAAAATAAAGATATGGCCGGACGCGGTGGCTCACGCCTGTAATCCCAGCACTTTGGGAGGCCGAGGCAGGTGGATCACGAGGTCAAGAGATCGAGACCATCCTGGTCAACATGGTGAAACCCCGTCTCTACTAAAAATACAAAAATTCAGCTGGGCATGGTGGCGCGTGCCTGTAATCTCAGCTACTCAGGAGGCTGAGGCAGGAGAATTGCCTGAACCCAGGAGGCGGAGGTTGCGGTGAGCCGAGATCGCGCCATTGCACTCCAGCCTGGGTAACAGGAGCGAAACTCCGTCTCAAAAAAATAAAATAAATAAAATAAAATAAAGATATATTAGATTTTAAGAACCTCTCCTTTTTGAAAGACACAGTTAAGAGAATGAAAATATAAGCCCCAGCTTGTTAGACGACAGGGTAATAGGAGGAGCAAGAGCATCAGGATGGTGCTAATGGACGCTGGGCTTAATACGTAAGTGGTGGGATGATCTATGCAGCAAATCACCATGGCAACACGTTTACCTAGGTATCAAATCTGCATGTCTGGCCCAAGTACCGCTGAACTTAAAATAAAGGTTGAAGAAAAAGAAAAGAAAATATAAGCCCCTGACTGGAAGAAAGTGTTTGCAAATTACATAACTGATAAAGAACTTGTATGTAGATTATACATAGAACACTCAAAAAGTAATGATAAAAAAACAAACAACCCAATTTAAAAATGAATAAAATATTTGAACCGACAATTTGCCAAAGAAGATATATAGATAGCAAGTAAACATATTGAATTATGCTCAACATCATTAGTCATTAGGGAAATGCCTATTAAAACCTCAGAGAGAGACCACTACACATCTATTAGAATGGCTAAAATGACTACTATACCAGTTGTTGGTGAAGCTGTGAAGGAATGGGCACACTCATACACTCATGGTAGCGACATAAAGGGATACAACCATTTTGGAAAAGAATTTGGCAGTTTCTTAAGAGGTTCTGCATACGCTTACCATATGACCCAGCCATTCCACACCAAAGTATTTACCCAAGAAGAAAAAAAAGCATATGTCCACACAAAGATTTGTACATGAATGTTCATAACATTTTTATTTGTAAAAGCCATAAGCTGGAAACAATCCAAATGCCCATCAGCAGATGAATGAAGAAGCCAGTATTGATTATCCATATAATGGAAGGCTACTCAACAATAATAAAAAGGAAAGAACTATTGGTACCCACAATGACATAGATGAATCTGAACACAATGACGCTGAGTGACAGAAGCCAGACATAAAGGAGTGTATATTGTATGATTCCTTTGCCATGACAATAATATTGGAAATGATTTCTATTTTCTGATAGTATAAAGTAGTCCTCCCTTATCCTTTGTTTGGCGTTCCATGCTTTCAGTTACCACAGTCAACTCTGGTCCAAAAATATTAAATGAGAAATTCCAGAAATAAACAATTCATAACTTTCAAATTTCACTCTGAGTAGCCTGATGAAATCTCATGCTGTCCACTCCCTTCCACCTGAGACATGAGTCCTCACACCTGGGATGTGCTCCCACCTGGGACGTGCTTCCACGTGGGACATGAATTATCCCTTTGTCTGGTGTACTCACCCCGTTTATGCTACTAGCCCTTAGTCACTTAGTAGCCTTCTTACTTATCACATTGACTCTAATACTGCTTCCCTTATTTCATTTAATGGCCCCAAATCTCCAGAGTAGTGATGCTGGCAGTTCAGATATGCCAAAGAAAAGCCTTTATTTAAGTGAAACAGTGAACGTATTGAAAAAAACATAGTAGCTATAGGGTTTGGTACTACCCATGGTTTCAGGCATCTGGTTTCAGACATCTACTTAATCTACTTAGGGTGTTGCAACATATCCCGGTTAAAGGGGGACTGCTGTAAACATCTGTGAATTTTCATAATCTGACCAGGAGTGGATTACAGTATTTTCCTCTTCTTCCTCTTACATGGAAATAATAAAACTGCTCATTTTCTCAAACAAAAGAGTTTAAGTCTTGTGACTTTTGTTTTGGATGTAGGGGGTAGGGCGGGGGGAAATTCATGTGATTCTCCTGCCTCAGGCTCTGAGTAGTTAGAATTACAGTCATGTGCCATCACACCCAGATATTTTTTGTATTTTTTGTAGAGATGGGGTTTCACCATGTTGGCCAGGCTGGTCTTGAACTCCTGATCTCAAGTGATCCGCCCGCCTCAAGTGATCTGCCCACCGCAGCCTCCCAAAGTGCTGGAATTACATGCTTAAGCCACCGCGCCCAACCTTTTGTGATATTTAAATGAACGCTTCTGATACAGGATGTTGCTACGCTGAACTGCTTCTTTGTTTATCCTGCCACAGGAACTCTCATCTCCCATCAGGCAGATTAAGAATCAGTTTCTTTTTCCCCAGAAAGGCAGGCACAGTCTCCACCCCGTTCTCACAGGGCAAGGCTAAACAAACTTTAGCACTGCCCTCATCTTCTCCCTGAGGCTTGGCTCTGAAACACCGCCCCACCAACCCCTATTGGTAGGGGATGGGGAGGAACTATTGAAAAGTTCCCACCATTTTCCCACAGGCAACCCCTCCTGCCTGCACTAGTGCTAAAGGATGCCCTTCTGGTGCAACCGAGCCCCTTGAGATTTCAGCACCCCAACATTTTAGTGATGAAACCATGAAAATTCTGATGAGGACTTTCCTGGTTTGCATATGTTAAATACCCGTTTTTGCCCAATATTCCTTGTTCTGGCAATGTAATTATAAACTGTTTCTTTGTCAAGCAGGAGGATATAGCCTCAGAGTCATGAAAAAATTTTGCAGAAGGAACGAATGCCTCTAAGACCATAGTGACCAGCTGCTGACGCCCACAAGTCTGGTGGTTCAAGGTGTCATCTGAGATGAAGCGACACAGACTTTCCCCCTAGGTTCCCTGAAACTCTCCCTACCTTACTTCCTAATCTCATAAAAACTCTCTGCTACTTATTTTTGTAAGGGTGGATTTGAGAGATCCTGCCCTCTTGCCTTCTCGCTTTGGCCAAATGGAGTAAACCTTCCCCTGTCTCCAAGCACCTGTGTGTCAGTGTTTGGCATCAATAGCACATCGGGTTCGTGAGCCTGAATCTGGGCTTCTACGACTCTGGTTCCTGGGACTCGGGCAAAAGGGAAAGCGAATCACACCACAGTCTCAGCCACTACGGACAGAACCCACAGGGGCTGTTAGCCGCTCCATGGGGGATACAGGGCTTAGTGGGCCACCCTAGGAGCCTGCCCCTGTTGTTACAGTTTGAAGACTGACGTTCCAAGCCACGGGCTTCTAGGCAAGCCTCTGGGACGCAGCCTCTTGTAATAGACTGGACATTTGCCCTATTTGTCCCCAGGCCACAACGCATTTAGCTTCACCCTCGGGAGCCTAAGTCCCCGATTTCGTCGTTTTCCCTCAAGTCCTTCGTGCTCCTGAACCGTGGGAAATGTTGCCAGGCTTGGTTTGAGAAGATTTAGGCTGTGCTGGCCGGCGTCTCTCCCTCCTCCCCAGCTCGCCCCGCGTTCCGAGCCCCCCAGCTCCCTGCCCTCCGCCGCTAGCGTCGTTAGAGGTGCTCCTGAGTCAACAAACTAAGTCTCCCCAGCGGGAAAGGGGCTCTCCCGGCAGCGTCCAGACCTGGGGAGCTGCAGTCGCCACAGCCCCATAGGAGAACCCGCGCAGACCTGGGGAGGTTTGGGGAAGACCTGCGCAAAGAAGCGCGGGGGACTCATTACCCGCCGGGGTTCTCCTCTGCAGCGCGTCTCCCTCCAGGAGCAGGAAACGGAGCCTCCCAAGTCCAGAGCAGAGAACTTGACACCGCAGGTCCGGGGCTTATATCAGCTGAGCTCCATGACACCTCCCGGGGCGGGGTTTCGCGCAGGAGACAGAGGGACAGCCCAATCTCATCGTTGTGTGGAGCGCGAAGCCCCTCCTGCAAAGGCAACAGGCTTGGTCAACTTTGGGTGGACTAGGGAGGACTGAGGAGGGGAAGCGCTTCTTTGTTCCTTCTCTGTTTTCAATTTTTTTTTTGGTTTTTTTTTTTTTAGATGTTCAGTTCTGATTTCACCAAGGGAAGGAGACCTAGGTGTCCACCCCCAGGTCCTCCAGAACCTCCCCCTGCCCCGCTCAGAGTCTTCCTGGGACCCTCAGGCTCGCAGAGCCCTCCGCAGGTTTCACCCCCGACGCCTCCAAATCCTTCGACTCCTACTGGAATTACCCCGTCAGCTGCTCCAGCCCTGTGCTGGAAGAGGGGCAAGGGGTATGGTGAGACGTGTTGGTAGATGGGGCACTGGGACGAAGGGGAAAGCAGAAAATTAAGCCTCTGTTTTCGCCTTCCCCTACCCCGCCCCTCCCGCCCCCGTAATTCCAGAATGTTGCTTCCGCCTCCTTTCTTTTGCTGCCAGGCGTAGGTGTGGCCACTGGGACGAAACCTGGCAGAAAATTAAGCCTCTGTTTTCGCCTTCCCCTACCCCCTCCGAGTAGGGGTTCCACAGCGCAGGGAGACAAGGATGGTGGCCAGTTACCAGAAAATCAAGGCAGATGGAAGTGTCTGGAAAACACCATCTATGGTCATCTCTGGAGTCTGGGGTCATGGGATAACTTTTTGATTTTTCAATGTATTGTCAAATAGGTAAAGTATGTGGAAAGTACAAAATGATAGTAAATTGAACACCCGTGTATTCACCAGACAGCTTAAGCAATAACATTAGCAATATTTGTGTACCCAGCTGGTCTCATTCCCTCATTCCACTTGTCCCCTACTCACCTGATAACCAGTACAGTTTTATGAGTTTGAAATTACTAATTTCCATGCAACTGTTTATACTTTTATTATATGTGTATTTGTCCCTCATCAAAACATGATACTGTTTCAACACATTTATATGCATTTAAGCTGCATGTAAATGGCATCATGCTGTCCAGGTATGGTCACTCATACCTATAATTCCAGCACTTTGGGAGGCTGAGAAAAAGGATGGCTTGAGGCCCAGAGTTTGCGACCAGCCTCGGCAAAATAGCAAGATCCTATCTCTACAAAAAATTTGTTTGGTTTGAGACCAAGTCTTGCTCTGTCACCCAGGCTGCAGTGCAATGGCATGATCTTGACTTGCTGCAACTTCTGCCTCCTGGGTTCAAGCGATTCTCCTGCCTCAGCCTCCGGCATAACTGGGACTACAGACACACACCACCACACCTGGCGATTTTTGTATTTTTAGTAGAGATGGGTTACACCATATTGGCCAAGATGGTGTCAAACTTCTGACCTCGTGATCCGCCCACCTCAGCCTCCCAAAGAGCTGGGATTACAGATGTGAGCCACCACACCCAGCCAAAGCATTTGTTTAAAGTTAGCTGGGTGTAGTGGCACATGCCTGTAAAGTCCCAGCTACTAAGGAGACTGAAGCGGGAAGATGGCTTAAGCCCAGGAGTTGAAGGATGCTGTGAGCTATGGTTGTGCCACTGCACACCTGCACTGGCAATAGAGTGAGACCCTGTCTCTTAAAAAAGAAAAAAGAAAAGTATCATATTGCATGTGTTCTGTAGAACTTGCTCCCACACATTTTGCTTTAAAGATTTGTGCGTGTATTTAGATCATTCCTTTTCACAGCCGCATGAGCTGGATTCTTTCTGTTCTTCTTTCCATCCATACCCATTGGTCTCCAGAGTATCCACGCCTCACCAAAAGTTCCTGCAGGAAACCTCAGCTCCACTGGCTTCCAGGTCATAATTGTTCCAGCACTACTTCTGAATTTCTGGCTCCAGCCCTCCTCTGCCATGTTCTTAAGTTTCTAGAGGGTCAAGGTCATGAGAAAGGAAAAATGCCAAGTGCCTTTGGTAAAATATTGCTCTTCTAGCTGTTTGCATGTTTGTTTGTGTGGAGTGGGAGGAAAGTGAAGGCAGATGTGATTTATTCTGAGTATTAATTCAAGTTTAAAAGTAAAATCTTTAGGTTTGCCTTGTCCAGTAAAAAATGCCAAGAGCCATAACTGCCCATTTTCTCTCTTCTTTCTCCCTCTCTGTCTGTCTTGTCTCACACACACACACACACACGGTTAATGCAATGTTTACATTGTTTTTGCTTCAACAAACTAAATAGGAGAAGAGAGGTGGTAGGTTAAAGGGACAGGTTACCTTATTAGGGGCACACAGTCGCTCACAGAAAGAATCACTATAGTAGCATAAGGAAAATTACTGTCTAGGCCAGCCCTGTGTCAGTGACCTCTGTCACTGCCCCCAGTCTGCACAGTGAGGCTGGAGGCTGCATGCTGTGGTCTGCAGATCCCTCACTACAGAAAACCCGCTTCAGCATTCTCCATGAGAGTCACAGGGAGATTGATTACGGGGCTCAATGCTCAATGGCATTGTGGCTGGCCAAGTTTGTTTTTTTTGTTTTTTTTTTTTTTTACAAAAACTTGTACTAGGGAACTGAGAATTGTAGCAGTGAGACATCTTAGCATAGAGCCTTATGTGTGTTTCCACAGACTTTCTTTCAAATCCAAGCCACTTGTTTATAATAATATTCACTTTTCAGGGAAAAATATATTTTCCACTTGTTTTCCCTTTTCTTGGTAAAAAGTTTAAAAAATAAAGTTTGCATAAACATGTTTATGCTGTTTCTTATGAACAATGTTTGCATTTGACACAGGGGGAAATTTTGACAGAACAAGTTTACTTGCAGGAGGGATGAGATATCCTTTATCAATGTTTATATGAATCCCACACAGAGAATGGGAGGGAAAATCTTGGTTCTCTGACACTCCCCGTACCCACACTGAGATCCAAGAATGTCCTGATGATTTTCCTATCTCTAAATAATTCAGCTTTTCCTGAAGGAGCTCAGTTAAGTCCAAACTTAATTTCTGTCAAGTCCAATGTTTAATTTGCTTTTTCCAGTATAGGAAATGAAAGTATGACTCAGAATTTTATTTTCTCTCTGTATCCCATCAGATCTTTAGCACACTGAGGGTAATGACAGAGTCTCAAAGTATATCCCCACAAAGGAAAAAACACTAATTTTCCAGAGATTCCTGGAATATATCACCTTAACCAAGTGATCCAAGTTAATATCATTAGCAACAGGAAAAATTAAATTGCATGCCACTAAAAAGAACAGTTTTTATTTCTTATGTATTCCTGACCCAATAAAACAAAACCAAACAGCACAATGAGAATGTAACTATAAGGAAACATTAGAGGGTTCAATGGTGCACACCTGTAGTCCCAGCTGCTTGGGAGGTTGAGGCAGGAGAATTGCTTAAGGCCAAGAGTTCAAGACCAGCCTGGGCAATATAGCAAGACCCTGTTTCAAAGGAAAAAGAAAAGAAAACATTAAACAAACCCAAACCCAAATTGAAAGACTGTTCTAGGTTGAAGAACACTAAAAAGACAAGACAAAGGCACCATGTAATCCTAGGCTGGAGCTTGGACTAGAAAACATTTCTTTTTGCTATAAAGGACACTGGTAATGGTGAGAATGTACTTCACAGACAGCAACTTGGAGCTTAATCCCAAAGGACCCCAGCTGCCTCATTCTGAAATCCACTGCACATTTGTGTGAAGGCTTCCATGGGCTGCTCCCAGCTGATGACTGAGTATATAAGGACAGGAGGGCAGGTCTTTTCCTGGGAGACACAGGATGCCTATAATGGCCAACTTTCACTTGACTTGAGTGAGTATCTGGCATACTTCCACCCAACCTCTCTTCCCACTTGCCTCCACGTAGGATTAGACTTGCATCATTGTCTTTCATTGACTCCCAACTCTCAACAAAATGGAAATGCCAAATTCCCCTGACATATGGTAGAGGAAGAAATAAAGAGTTTGAGGAAAATGAGCATGAAGGAATGGATATTTTAGGGAAGACCAGAAGACCTGCTAGACGATTTTGTTCCATGATATGTCCCAGATTACACACCACTCACCAAGACTACCAAAAAGCACTGGCAGGAGGGGCACCAGCATCAAAGAAGTCCAGGGATGGCTGTCTGCTGTGTGCCAGGGAGGATGGTGGGTGAGGCAGTCTCAGAGCTGAGCTCATTAATACCCATGGGAATGCACAATGGGGGCCCTCAAATAATAGAAGCCAGGAGATCACAATTACCACAGTGCCTGGCATGGTTAGACAGACAGCCACCAGGACTAGAGCCACACGAAGTTGTGGAGATGGTTAATGCCGAATGATGTCCTTAGAGGCAAAATAGGCAGCCAACAAGAATGTTACTTAACATCTATAACCCACAAAGAGCAAAAATAAAGGAGCAGGATGCTGTGGATAATCGCTCCCAACAAAAGCCACAACTTCTTGTTTAATTTTCAAACCCAAGCCAATTTGCAGATCTAGAACCCACTGGCTGAAGTGATGGATCCCCAGGAGGAAGAAACTTGCAATGCCATGGCAAGTATATACCATGGGCATTTACTCATGTAATTATATGGTGGGGGAAAGGAGATAACCAGACATTTCAAGGACTATTGAATATGGGATCTGAGTTAACACTGATAACCAGAAACCCAAAATATCATCATAGTCCCTGTTACAATGGGACAAGGTGATTAATGGAGTCCTGTCTGAAATCTGACTCACAGTGGTCCATCTGATCTGCGGATGAATTCCCAAGCAGCCAAGTGCATAGTTGGAATAGCCCCCATATTAGACCCTGGTCTGTAAAGTGTAACTATTATAGTGGGGAAGGCCAAAAGGAAACCTCTGAAGCTGCCCGCAACTCAGCCAAGATGATAAATCAAAATCAGTTTCATATTTTAAGAAGTTCATGCCACCATTAAAGAACTAAAGGATGCAGGGAAAGTAGTTTCCACGATATTTTCATTTTATTTGCTAGCCTGGCCCCTGAAGAAATTGGCAAGATCCTGAAGAGTGACTGTAGACTACCACAGGCTTAACCAAGGAGTAGCCCTCATCCCGACTGCTATTTGGTATTATCTAGATCAACGTTAGTAAGCCTTCAGGTGAAAAATATGTGAGCACTGATTTGGCAAATGCGTTCTCTTCCATTCCAATCAGAAAGGGGATCAGAAATAGCTCACATTCATGTGGAACGGACAAAAATATTCAGTTACATTTGGCTCCAGGGTTATTTTAACTTTTGCTCTCAGTCATAATATAGTACAAAGAAATCTTCACCATCTGGACAGCCCAGAGAACACCACGTGGACCGATTACATTGATATCATGCTTCTGAACAGATGAACAAGTGTTGGCTCTGGGGGCCTTGGTAAGACACATGCATTCCAGAGGACTGGAGATAAACCACATTAAGATTTCAGGAACCAGCCGCGCCAGTGAAGTTTTAGGGGATTCAGCGGTAAGAGTTGTACTAGGTGTCCCCTCCATAGTAAAAGACAAATTGCTGTATCTTTCGTCACCTACCACAAGAAGGAAGCATCTGCTAGGCCTATTTAACTTCTATAGGCAACATATGCCATACCAAAAAAACTACTCTGGCCCATAAATCAGGTGACATGGAGAGCTGCAAGCTTCAAGGGGCCTAGAGCAGAAGTATTGCAGCAGATCCAGCAGGCCATGGTGCCATCACACCCTGCAACTTGGGCTCCACAGTCTGACAGCCTGTGGCATTCTGTTCGACAATAGTTGGACAATATGGGGATCACGGCAAGCCCCAGTGGGAGAATCCCAAGGCAGGCACTTGGGATTCTAGAACAAGGCCATGACATCCACAGTAGAGAACTATATGCCATTTGAGAAACAGCATTTGCGTGTTAGCGGGCCCTGATACAGACTGAACACTTATCCTTGGGAAACCAGCTGAGCATGCATCTGAAACTGCCCCTGATAAGCTGAATTCTGTTGGACCTAATAAGTCCCCAGGTTGGATGGGCCCAGCAGCAGTACATGCTAATGTGGAAATCCAGGATGGAGCCTGAGCGGGAACAAAGAACACAAGTAAGCTGCATTAGCAGGTAGCCCAGACTCTCCCATAGTCCCCTATGTCACCCACCACACTTGCACCTGTTTTCACCTATTTCTCTACAGGAGCTAGAGAGATGCCCACACAACTGAGTGAAAGAGAAAAAAACTCACGCATGGTTTACAGATGTTAGCTTAGTATGTGCGTGCAGACCAGAAATGAACTGTGACTGTGTTACAGCCACATGCTGCAGGGAGTAGTACTGAAAGGCAGTGAAGAGGGAAGGTCTTCCCAGTAGGCAGAGATCTGAATCATGCACCTGATTATTCACTTTGTGTGGAAGATAAGTGGCCTGAAGTAAGACTAAGTAAGCTGAGGGCAGTGGTATGTACCTGTAGTCTCAGCTACTTGGGAGACTGAGGCAGGAGGATCACTTGAGCCTGGGAGTTTGAAGCTATAGTAAACCATGATGGCACCGCTGCGCTCAGAGCCTAGATGACAGAGCAAGACATGGTCTCTATTTATTTATTTATTTGTGTTTGAGATGGAGTTTCGCTGTTGTTGCCCAGACTGGAGTGCAATGGCGCAACCCCGCTCACTGCAACCTCTGCCTCCTGGGTTCAAATGATTCTCCTGCCTCAGCCTCCTGAGTAGCTGGGATTACAGGCACCCGCCACCACACCCAGCTATTTTTTTTTGTGTTTTTAGTAGAGACAGTGTTTCACCATGTTGGCCAAGCTGGTCTTGAACTCCTGACCTCAGATGATCTGCCCACCTTGGCCTCCCAAAGTGCTGGCATTATGGATGTGAACTACCATGCCTGACCTGACTCTGTCTCTTTTAGAAGAGGAGGAGGAGGAGGAGGAAGGAGGAGGAGGAGGAGGAGGAGGAAGGAGGAAGGAGGAGGAGGAGGAAGAAGAAGGAGGAGGAGGAAGGAGGAAGAAGAAGGAGGAGGAGGAAGGAGGAAGGAGGAGAAGGAGGAAGAAGAAGGAGGAGGAGGAAGAAGAAGAGGAGGAGGAGGGGGAGAAGAAGAGAGGAGGAGAAGGAGAAGAAGGAGGAGGAGAAGGAGGAGGAGGAGGAGGAGAAGGAGAAGAGGGTTCGGAGGAGGAGGAGGAGGGGGAAGGGGGAGAAGTGGGAGGAGAAGGGAAGGAGGAAGAAGAAGGAGAAATATATATGCTTGGGAAGTGGCCAATGGTCTGGCTGCCTGGTCAGAGCCTTTAAAGAAAACAACTGGAAAATCGGATACAAGGAGGTCTGGGTAGACCCTAGAAACATGTAGATGGACATAATGGGAGTGGATACAATATATGAACATTTTGCATCACATGTTAATGCCCAACAGAGAGTGTCTACCATGCAAGAGGACTGAGCAGTCAGGTAGACAAAATGACTCAGCCAGTCTTTGCCATCAGCCACTCCAGAACTGGCACAATAGGCACATGAATAGGTGACAGAGATGGCTACCTATGGGCCCAATAGAATGGACTCCTACTTATGAAAGCCAGCGTAGCCACTGCTGCCTCTGAATGTCCAACTTGTCAGCAACAGAGACCCACACTCCCAAAGTGGCACTAGTCTTCAAAGAGACCAACCAGTCACGTGGTGACAAGTTGACTACATCAGCCCCCTTCCACACTGGAAGGGTCAGCAGTCTGAACTCACAGGGACAGCTACCTATTCCAGAAATGGGTTTGCCTTTCCTGCCCACAGAGCCTCAGCTGGAACCACTCGCCGAGACTTTATGGAATGTCTAATCCACAGGCATGGAATCCCACACATCACAGCATCCAACCAGGAGACTCTTCACAGCAAAGAAGGTGGACCTGTGATCATGAGATCACTGTCTGTCTCACATACCACCCCATCCAAGGCAGACAGCCTCGTAGAATCCCGGAACAGCCTTCTAAGTGTACAACTGAATGGCAGCTCAAAGAACACACTCTAAAAAGATGGGGTGCCATCCTTCAGTAGACCGTATATTTATTAAATCATAGACCCCTCGATGGTGCCATATTCCCACAAGGAAGAACAGAAGGTCCAGGAACCAAAGAGGAGAAGCAGGAGTGGCCCCACTTACCATCACTACCAGGGACCTGCTGGGGGATTTTGTGCTTCCTGTCCCTGTAGATCCTGAACCCTGAAAGGGTTGCACACTTGCCAGGGGACACAGTGAGTGTCCCACTGAACTATAAGTTCCAGCTGCCAAAGGGGCACTTTGATCTCATGTGTAAGAAGTCACCAGACTGGCAGGGGTCGTGGATGTTGCTCAGCAGAAGCGGGCAAGACTGTTTTCACACAAGGGGGCAGGAAGGAATATGTGTGAAACCCAGGTGATCTAATTGAGTGCCTTCTGATACTCCCATGCCCTACTGTAAGGGTCAACAGACACATGCAGTAACCCCAAACTGATAAAGGTATGACTGCCAAAGGTTCGAACCACTCAGGAATGAGGGTTCTGGCCACACCCCTGGGTCAGCAAGCTGCCAAGACCTGCAGAGGTGAGAGGTGAGGGTGAGAGGTATTTAGAATGAATAGTGGAGGAGTGGAAGGAGGAGAGCCGATTGCAACCCTGAGATCCACTGTGGTGTCAGGGCCTGCAGTTCATCCCACTAACCTCTCGCTTCTGATTTCCCCTCAGGAGGAATGGCCTACGGGGGCCATGCAGGGGCTGCATGGAGGAACTGGTCAGCATGCACAGAAGTGGATGGCAGTGGGCCAGGCACAGTGGCTCACATCTGTAATCCCAGCACTTTGGGAGACTGAGGTGGGTGGATCACCTGAGCCCAGGAGTTCGAGAGCAGCCTGGACAACATGATGAAACCCCATCGCTACTAAAAATACAAAAATTAGCTTGGTGTGGTGGCAGACACTTGTAATCCCAGCTACTCAAGGAGGTTGAGACAGGCGAATTGCTTGAGGTGGAGGTTTCAGTGAGCCAAGATAGCGCCACTACACTCCAGCCTGTGGGACAGACCGAGACTCTGACTAAAAATAAAATAAATTTTAAAAAGGTGGACCGCAGTGGTGTGGGAATGGACCTGACAGACCTCCCGTTATGGAAAGCTTACACAGCCAAGGGCCAAAGGCCAACCGCCATTCTCTGAAACCTGTCCTGCATTTGTGCCAAGGCCACACTTCCCACAGGCTGCTCCAGCCAGTGACCAAACACAGCACGGACACTGTGACTGGCCCATTCTGGGAGACATGGGACTCCTCTGATGTCCAGCTTTGCTTTGGGGACTCCCTGATGGCCTTGCCAAGCCTTCCTGATAAAGCACTTTGGTCCAGGAAGCTTCTACCCGACCTTCCTTCCTCTCTCCTTCACGCAGGGTCAGACTTACAATGTGGTCTGACAATTCCCCCAGCAGTTCCTGGCTCTTGCTCCTTTCCTCTCACAGGTGCTTCTCTTGAGAAAATTCTTGCATGCTTAATCCCAATTTGAGGGATTATTGGGACAATTATTGGGACCACTATTGGAATGGTTGACAAACTGTCACTAGGGGTGTGTAAATTAAATGGCCGTATCTTATAAATCCATGTTAATTTCCCGGTATAGATGACAGCGCTGTGATTATATAGGAGTAGGTCCTTGATGTTTAGGAATTACAAGGTGAAATGTTTAGGATAATGGAGCAACTTACTTTCAAATGGTTCCCAAAAAATTATAGATAGATAGATAGATAGATAGATAGATAGATGGATAGATAGAGTGAGAAAGTGAGAATAGTAAAGCAAATGTATATAAAGTTTTGTGGCAAGAGAGCATAGTTTTTTTGTAGTATTCTTGCAACTTTTCCATAAGTTTGAAATTGTCCAAAATTTAAAAATGTTTAAAACATTCTGGGTTGGGCGCGGTGACTCATGCCTGTAAATCCCAGTACTTTGGGAGGCTGATCACCTGAGGGGATCACCTGAGGTTGGGAATTTGAGATCAGCCTCACCAACATGGAGAAACCCCATCTCTACTAAAAATACAAAATTAGCAGGAGTGGTGGCACATGCCTGTAATCCTAGCTACTTGGGAGGCTGAGGCAGGAGAATTGCTTGAACCCGGGAGGTGGAGGTTGTGGTGAGTCGAGATGGCACCATTGCACTCCAGCCTGGACAATAAGAGCTAAACTCCCTCTCAAAAAAAAAAAAAAATTCTGAAGACATACATTCAGCCAGCAGTCATATGAAAAAAAGCTCTACATCACTGATCATTAGAGAAATGCAAATCAAAACCACAATGAGATACCATCTAACCAGCCAGAATGGCAATTATTAAAAAGTCAGAAAATAACAGATGCTGGTGAGGTTGTGGAGAAAAAGAGACACTTATACATGTTAGTGGTAGTGTGAATTAGTTCAGCCATTGTGGAAGACAGTGTGGCGATTCCTCAAAGACCTAAAAACAGAAATACCATTCAACCCAGCAATCTTATTACTGGGTACATACCCAAAGGAATATAAATCATTCTATTATAAAGACACACACACATGTATATTCATTGCAGCACCATTCACAATAGCAAAGACATGGAATTGACCTAAATGCTCATCAGTGATAGACTGGATAAAGAAAAATGTGGTACATATACACCATGGAATACTATGCAGCCATAGCAATGAATGAGATCATGTCCTTTGCAGGGACATGGATGGAGCCGGAGGCTATTATCCTTAGCAAACTAACACAGGAATAAAAAATCAAATACCACATGCTCTCACTTACAAGTGGGAGCTAAATGATGAGAACACATGGACACACTGAGTGGAACAACACACACTGGGGCCTTTTGGTGGAGGGTAGGAGGAAGGAGAGGATCAGGAAAAATAACTCATGGATTCTAGGCTTCATACCTGGGTGATGAAATAATCTGTACAACAAACCCCCATGGCAGAAGTTTACCTATGTAACAAACCTGCATTTATACCCCTGAACTTAAAAGGTTTTTAAAAAATCTTGAAACTAACACTCAGAATCTTGATTAAAAGTCTTGATGCAAAAGGGCTTGCATAACTAATATGGTTTGAGTCTGTGTCCCCACGCAAACCTCATGTCAAATTGTAATCCCCAATGTCAGAGAAGGGATATGGTGTGAGGTGATTAGATTAAGGGAGTGGATTTCTCCCATGCTGTTCTCATTAAAATGGGTGAGTTCTCCTGAGATCTGGTTGTTTAAAAGTGTTTATCACCTCCTCCTTCCCTCTCGTCATTCTGCTCCAGCATGTAGGATGTGCCGGCCTCCCTTTCACTTTTGCCAAGATTGTAAGTTTCCTGAGGTCTCCCCAGCCTTGCTTCCTGTGCAGCCTGTGGTACCATGAGCCAATTAAACCTCTTTTCTTTGTAAATTACCCAGTCTCAGGCAGTTCTTTTTTTTTTTTTTTCAGGTAGTTCTTAATACCAATGCAAGAACGGACTAATATAATAGCCTTCTTCTTTATCTTGAAATTCATCAAGGACACCAAGGCCATTCCACCCAATTTAAAAGTTTCCTTTCTATTCTCCAAAGTGATTTCTAGTAGAAAGATGGAAGGCTGTTTATGCTTTTATTGATTGCTTAGTTTTGTCATTATAATTATACATTTCAAAATTCTTTTAGAATTAGTTTGTTAGGGCTGCCATAAATATACCAAAATTTGAAGATCAGGTGGCTTAAAAAACACAAATTCATTTTCTCACAGCTCTAGAGATTGTAAGTCCAAGATCAAGGTGTCAGCAGATATTGTTTCTTCTGAGGCCTCTGTCTTGGCTTGCAGTTGCTGCCTTCTCGCCGTGCCCTCACATGGTCTCCACTCTGTATACGAGTGCCTCCCTGGTGTCTCTTCCTCTTCTTAGGAGGACACTAATTGTATCAAATTAGGGCCCCACCCTTATGACCTTAGTTAGCTTTAATCACCCCTTTAAAGATTTCATCTCTAAAGGTATTCACACTCCAAGGTAGTGAGGGTTAGGGATTGAACTTACAAATTTTGGGGAACCACAATTCAGCCCATAACATGGAGTGTACCATTCTCCCTTTAATCAAAGGCTACTTATATCACCACATCTTCACACCATCTCCACATACACCAGAAGGCAACTTTTTCTGAGATTCAGTCCTCTGAAGAATAATCTAAATCTCAACTCTTTTAAAAACATGGTTAATATTAATCTAAAATTTTATTTTCATTTTCTTCCAACCTGAATGACTTTTCTTAAAGGGCTCATACATTTAAAGTTTTGCCTAGATTTCAGCTGGGCATGGTGGCTCATGCTGGTAATCCCAGCACTTTGGGAGGCTGAGGCAGGCAGATCATTTGAGCTCAGGATTTTAAGACCAGCTGTGGCACCAGATATGGCAAATCCTCACCTCTACCAAAAATACAAAAATTAGCTGGCCATAGAGGTGTGCTTGTAGTCCCAGATACTCAGGAGGCTAAAGTGGAAGGACCACTTGAGCCTGGGAGGTCAAGACTGCAGTGAGCTGTGGTCGTGCCATTGTGCTCCAGCCTGGGTGACAGAGTAACACCCCGTCTCAAAAAATAATAATAATAACAAAATTTTGTCTAGATTTATTTCTCTTTTTTTTCTGGGAAGGTTTTGAGCTTCTTTTTTTTTTTTTTGAGACAGAGTTTCACTCATGTTTCCCAGGCTGGAGTGCAATGGTGCGATCTTGGCTCACCGCAACCTCCGCCTCCCGGGTTCAGGCAATTCTCCTGCCTCAACCTCCTCAGTAGCTGGGATTACAGGCACGCACCACCATGCCCAGCTAATTTTTTGTATTTTTTTTAGTAGAGACGGGGTTTCACCATGTTGACCAGGATGGTCTCGATCTCTTGACCTCGTGATCCACCCGCCTCGGCCTCCCAAAGTGCTGGGATTACAGGCTTGAGCCACCGCGCCCGGCATGAGCTTCTTTATGTTAGATTATTAAGCACTTAATTTAAGTGCTATACAATTTAAGGAACTATATGGACTTTCTAATTACATTGGAAGGTGTATTATCTAATTTGAAAAGTGCTTCTTTCCCTTGTCACTCTTTATATATGTTCATATCAGTTCTCCTGGAACACATAGACTCTAATTTGATTGCACTGTGGTCTGAGAGACTGTTTGTTATGATTTCCATTCTTTTGCGTTTGCTGAAGAGTGATTTACTTCCAATTACGTGGCCAATTTTAGAGTAGATGTGATGTGGTGCTGAGAAGAATGTATATTCTGTGGATTTGGTGTGGAGAGTTCTGTAAATGTCTATTAGGTTTGCTTGGTCCAGTTCTGAGTTCAAGTCCTGGATAGCCTTGTTAATTTTCTATCTCATTGATCTAATATTGACAGTGGAGTGTTAAAGTCTCCCACTGTTATTGTGTGGGAGTCTAGGTCTCTTTGTAGGTCATTAAGAACTTGCTTTATGTATCTGGTTGCTCCTGTATTAGGTGTGTATATATTTAGGATCATTAGCTCTTCTTGTTGCATTGATCCTTTTACAATTATGTAATGCCCTTCTTTGTCTCTTTTGATCTTTGTTGGTTTAAAGTCTATTTTATCAGAGACTAGAGTTGCAACTCCTGCTTTTTTTTGCACTCCATTTGCTTGGTAAATGTTCCTCCATCCCTTTATTTTGAGTCTATGTGTTTTCTTACATGTGAGATGGATCTCCTGAATACAGCACACCAATGGGTCTTGACTTTTTATCCAATTTGCCAGTCTGTGTCTTTTGATTGGGGCATTAGCCCATTTATATTTAAGGTTAATATTGTTATGTGTGAATTTGATCCTGCCATTTTGATGCCAGCTGGTTGTTTTGCTCATTAGTTGACACATTGTCTTCATTGTGTCGAAGCTCTTTACCATTTGGTCCGTTTTTAGAGTGGCTGGTGCTGGTCGTTCCTTTCTATGTTTAGTGCTTCTTTCAGGAGCTCTTGTAAGGCAGGCTGGTGGTGCACACCTGTATTCCCAGCTACTTGGGAGGCTGAGGCAGGAGGATGGCTTGATCCTAGGTGTTTGGAACTGTACTATTTTTCTAATTTTTCTGCAAGTCTATATTGGTTCAAAATGAAAAGGTTTTAAAAACTGAGAGTGCCTTACAATTTTCAAGTTTGTTTTACTTTCTCCCATTGGTAAACATACACTGTCAACCTTGACATTTTGGGAAATCTGAAAAAAATCTTTAGAAGTAGGGGCAGGGAATGACATAGATTTATTGCCCAAAGACTATTAGCATTGTGACATGTCTCATCTGGACATTTTTTTTCCCTAGAATTTTTTGGCAGATCAGTAATTAAATAGTAGTGGACCGTTTTTATATTTATTTTTATTGAATCTTTTTTTACATTTATTATAGAAGTAATAGGAGACTTTTAAGATGCCACAGCAGACATTGCTGTTCCCTTTTTTGCAATACCCCAAATAAAAAATAAGAACTGAAATACCTAAAACCTCAGACCTCATTATATGGGAAAGAGGGGTAAGGGCTGCCTGCCCCATGCAGTGGAGGTTGAGGACACCAGAAGGGAAAACCTGCAACTGCAGATTTTGGGCACAGCCAGCAGAACACATGGTTGTCTGTGTTACGTGGCTTGTAGACCCTGGGCAGAAAATTCAATGACTTGTTTGGAGCAACTAGACTGAAGGGCAGAGGGGCTTTGGAGTTTCCTTGTCCTGTGTTAAACACAGGATTGGCAAAGGACATGCCATCTTTGAAATCAGCCTTCAGGGCTAAAAACATCTGTGAGTGACAAGCAGCTCTGACACTGCTAATATCTAGCCTGTGGAAAGAGGAAATCTGCACCAATGGTCAAAACAGTTATGCAACTGTCTGTGAACCAGAGAGGCTTTGGCACCCCCAAGCACTGCCCTGGCCTTGTTCCCACAC